AAAACCTGCAGGACACCGGCCCTCGAGGCCTGGAGTTCGACACACCTGACCCTAAAGTATTAAGGGTGGGAACCACGGAGGCAAGATACAATAATATCATGGCACACAATAACAATGACAATGTTTGGTCATTATTAAAAAGAAACGAGTTAATACATTACCTTCCCTCCACTTTCCATTCAGTCCACTGTCCTGTAGCAAACTTGTACTCAAAAAGGTCATTTTTATTTTTCAGGTTTGAATTTGAGTAAATGTCTCCAGTGTAGCCCCCTAGAAAATATCAAAGTTGAACATTACAGAAATGCCACCAGAGTTTAAAATGGATAAAATAAAGGATTTTTATAGATAATGAAGGATTTACCAAATACAAACATGCTGCTGCCATAGACCACAGCTGAGTGGTGGTATCTGGGGGCAGGTGGCGTTCCAGTGGTGAAAGCTCTGTGAATTATAGACATGTGTCAACTTTTATTTTATTATACGGTTAGGATTGTGTATGTTTTATATATACTCTGGCTGATTTGGTGTCTTGTATTGTAATACTTTCAAAAAGTGTCTGAAATAAGCTGATCTTTATGATTACTTTTTAGTGCTCCTTGTTCTGATACTCACTGCATACACACTATGATGGTCTTAAAATGTAAATGGTAAAATGGTAAATGGGCTGTATTTGTATAACGCTTTACTTAGTCCCTATGGACCCCAAAGCGCTTTACACTACATTCAGTCATCAGTCATAAGTATGTGTTAGTCTGGGTTATTCAGTGGATTGTGATATGTATTGCAACGAAGTAAAATCAAATCAACTGTGGCTGTGAGGCTATAGCCTTACCGACACCAGGAACAGTCCTTCACATCAAAGCGAAGCAGATCATTCAGCATGTTTTTGCTGTTGGGTGACACAGAATTCTCACATACATATAATAATACATATATCTGAAAAATGTCTGCAGAAGTCTTGCAGCCCTTACCCATTATCTCCCCCGAACACATATATTGCATCTCTGTAAGCCACCACAGTGTGCTTGCTGCGCCTGCGTGAAGCCGCATGAAGTTCAGTAAGACCACAGGTATTCAGTTTGAGTGAAGATGCTGCTGCTCATCTGTCCACATCTTACCTTGCACCAACAAACTCATCGCATGGAGGGAGTCTTCTCCAGCGATGAACAGTCTCAAATGGGCCGAAATTAAGTGTCAAATATTCCACGCTGTCAGAGCAGCTGTGGTCGAAATCAACACTCGGAGCCACTTTAGTTGACTTACAGGACATGTTTTTGCTAACTCCCCGGCTCAATCAGATGTCAGGGCCACTCATCTGCAGGGACGTGAACGGTTAACGACGCTGTTAATGCCCCAGCATAAGTGCTAATACTTCTGTCACTACATGTAAATCTGGAGTGACATCGGTACTACTCTTACCCAAGTCTTCTGTGTTAAAGATTAAGGCTGTTGTCCTCCAGAGAACTGTTAGCTACAAAAAAGCTCAGCTAAACCTGGCTAGCTAGCTAGCCTCTAGCTAGTGCTACGCCCCAAAACTAGCAACATGAAGACGAAAACGACAAGTTAACGAACAACGCTAACGTTGCGCTAAAACATCTGGCCAACCGGTTCGATACCTACGATGTCATGATATTACACAGACAAAAAAACAACACCAAGAAATCAAAAGCAGTGGTAAATCCACGCCCCCCACAACCCTGTATGCTGCGGGTACTTCACTTCCTGTAATGTTAAAAAGGCGGAGTCAAAATGCTTTCAGTCCTGTAATCTTGAGTAGTATGTGCACATTTGAAGTTGACATGAAACACTATAGGTATTAACGTTAATTTACACTTTGGAGTCCTACTCTAAAAACCTGTCATAGATTTAGCACAGTCTTCAAAGCTGGAATTTGTTAAAGAGTCTTTGAAATTAAAGATTTTAAAGCACGTTAAGCAAAGAAAGAAAATAAGTAAACTAAAACTAAAAAAGCAGCAGTCACTCATTGCTGCCCCTGGTAGCAGCAATTATTATAGAGATAATTTTAATGCAGTATTATATGCATTAAAATTATCACTTTTCCCAAGCATATCATGTTTGAATTTACAACATACAGGGTTACCACATGCGCATCACACCACAAAAGCATGATCGGGAATCCTGACATCCATAAGCATGTCTGTATGAGATTGATGTATGCAACAGACAAAAGAAAAAAAATATTGTTTTGGCTTGGAAATTATTATTTTACAAAAGAAGAAGACTAACGTCGATTTTTTTTTTCATACACCGAACTTAAACAGGCTCTCTTTCAAGGAAACTAAAATTTTAGTAAGTTATTGGTTCCCACTTGATCACGAGTTAGCTAACATAAACTAACAATCTATTAACAGCAACCAACCAAACAACGCAGTGACCGTCTTTGTTGGGATAAAATAAAACAAACATTCTCTAAAAAGTTTAAAGCCTATTTCTTAGATACAGCTTTACAGTTTTAAAATCTATGGTACATTTTTAGAGCAGGGCTCCATGGTGTAAATTTGTCTCAACAAATGCAGTGTTTCATGCCCGCTTTATCGCTCTTGCCTAAAACATGTTTGTCCTATAGCAGCCACCGTAGCTAGCGAATATGCAGTTTAGCTGGGAAGGTTAATGCTTCAGCTGGAAATCTACATTATAACTTACAATGTAACCGGAAACTCCTTTTAATCTGTGCTGTAACTTTCCACATAACCTGATTTGCGAGTCCCGAGAAATATAACTACAGGTCAGGGCAACACAGTCTGCAGTGACTTGAAAGGCGTGGAAAGTTGGGGTGTGGGGTTAAGATGGGCTTTGGGTTACATTGTAAGTTAGAATTTAGATTTCCCACAGAAGTCTAAATCAAGCTCAAGAAAAAGGCCTCAGTTGAGTGCAATCTGTAGTCTACTAAGTTATAATGTAACTTTAAGCATACTTTATTCTCCCGCCAATATGTCGGTCAGCATGTGTGTTTCTATTTGGACAGGGAGAGAGGTTTTCACCCTCCGCAGACGCACTCCATTCAATTAATCAAGTGGGTTTGATTAGCTTCACTGCTGCTAATAAACCTCTCAATTCCAATAAAGTCAGAAATGAAAGGTGTAATCTTTTAATTATCAATAATGGCACAGTGTAATATGTCAAATGTCGTTCATTTCAGGTTTTATTTGTCAAATTTTAATTCCTGTCAAGGGTTACATATTTTTTTCCATTACAGTACATCCTGGTATGTAAAACCGTAGACTTAACAGTGTTTGTAAGTCTATAACTGTCTTAACACAAATGTTAAGGACATCTCCAAGCAATGAAAACGTATTGTGATCATGCAGTTTTTGTTAAAAACATAACCATCCTCATTGAACTTGTCATGTTTTATTTTTTATTTTACAACAGCAAATCGCATTGGATTTAATTACAATTTTCTAACACTGATCTTCAAAATAAATGCTTTATTAGGTCAGTTTGGAACCACTACAATTTTGAGGCATTATCTGCACCAAATGCTCATTTTAACAGGAAACTTGTTGAAATGTTATTCACCCATCCATAGGCTGATACAATATGGCCATCTATCTTAACCCACCATTTTTAGGAACAGATATTTCTCATTTATTTTCAGAGATGTTGAGACTTCATGTACATTCATTCAGAATAATCCCAGGGCATTCAACAAAATTAAATGGTTGTTTTAAATAAACAATATTACATTTCATTTTATTCTGAGACTTAGCTTATCATATATTGCTAGTAACAATGGATTATTGTATGGAGGACAAAATCAGGAAATTGCACATTAGCTAAAATCAAATCATTAATAATACAAAACACTAAGAATAAGCAATACTGAATGGAAAGAAATACTGCCTAAATATTATAGGTGAATTTACAAAACTAAAGAGTTAAACAAATGATGAAGAGCATTAACAAAACATAAATTAATGAAATGAAATTGCATTTCTTATAAGTGGTTCTGATAATAAGGCCGTGTAGACATGCGAGTGGTGTTTGACACTCTTGGTCATTGTACATTTAGGTAAGACCTTACTTGACAGACATATGTTTTAGGTTATTTGCCTGCTCTCTACACAAGTCACATCACATTGTCACTTTACCTCCCAAAACAACTGGCAAGAGCAACACATTATTGTTGATTATCACTGAGATATAAGCAGCAAACAAAAACGGAACAGTAAAGTTCTCACATGAAGAAAATGCAACATTTATCCTATAAAATTAAGGTATTTTTACTGCTAATTACATCATTTTTAATGGCTCTTTCATTTATTGATTCCTCTGTTGTTATTTATTAAACATATTACATGACAGACATGGAGAAGCATGTTTATAGTTGATAACATTAATGATGATTTGATATAGAATTTGTAGTGATAGGACT